TGAGGCCGCACCTCGAATACCGTGTTCAGTTTTGGGCCCCTCACTACAAGAAAAATGTTGCATTGCTGGAACATGTCCAGAGAAGGTCAACAAAGCTGGTGAGGGGTCTGGAGCACAAGTCTGATGAGGAGCAGCTGAGGGAACTGGGGTTGTTTAGTCTGGAGAAGAGGAGGCTGAGGGGAGACCTGATAGCCCTCTACAACTGCCTGACAGGAGGCTGTAGCCAGGTGGGGGTCGGCCTCTTCTCCCTGGTAACGGGTGATAGGACGAGGGGAAATGTTCTGAAGGTGCACCAGGGCAGGTGTAGGTTGGACATTAGGAAAATTTTTTTCAATGACAGGGTTGTCAAGCATTGGAATGGGCTGCCGAGGGGAGTGGTGGAGTCCCCATCCCTGGGGGTATTTAAGAGACGGACAGGCGAGGTGCTTAGGGACATGGTTTAGTGGTGGGATGGCAGGCTTAGGTTAACAGTTGGACTTGATGATCTTAAAAGGTCTTTTCCAACATAAACAATTCTACGATCAGGAGTAGTCAGCATGGCTTCACCAAAGGAAAGTCACAATTGACCAACGTGATAAGCTTACATGATGAAATGACTGGCCTGGTAGACAAGGGGAAAGTCCTCTACCTGGACTTGAGGAAGGCCTTCAACACTGTCTCCCAAAAGATCCTCACAGATAAGCTGTTGATCTATGGGCTGGATGAGCAGACAGTGAGGTGGATTGGAAACTGGATGAATGGCTGGGCCCAGAGGATGATGATCAGCAGCACAAAGCCTAGCTAGAGGCAAGTGACTAGTGGTGTATCCCAGGGGTAGTGCACCAATGAGCCCTTGCCACAAAGAAAGCTAATGGTGCCCTTGGCTGCATTAGGAGGATGTTGCCAGCAGGCTGAGGGAGGTGAACCTTCTCCTCTCCTCAGCACTGGTGAGGCCACACCTGGAATGCTGGGCCCAACACAACAGAGGCACAGACTTACTAGAGATAATCCAGTGAAGGGCCACAAAGATGACGAAGGGACTGGAGCATCTCTCCTGTGAGGAAAGGCTGAGAGAGCTGGAACTGTTTAGCCTGGACAAACAAAGGCTCAAGGGGGGGGATCTCATCAAGGGGGAATCGGGGTTTAAACCAGAGGACTCGGGGGTGGGGTACACAGTCAGAACACTAAGGCAATCGCATCCAACGAGGGAATAAGTGTGACCATTCAGAGCAGCAATAAGTGTGCCGAAGCTGCCTCCCAACTTAAGAACCAGAAGACCAACTGACTTAAAGGTGGGCTTGGCTGTGCCAGAACCTCTTTCATCCCTCCAGGGAAACCTCTGTGCTCAATTGCCTCGCTGAAATGCCTCTACACCAATGCATGCAGCATGAGGAATAAGCAGGAAGAGCTAGAGTTCTGTATGTGGTCACGGGGCCACGATCACATCACAATTACAGAGATAAGGTGGGATAACACACAACTGGAATGCTGCCATCGATGGCTATGTACTTTTCAGGAAAGACAGGCCAACGAAGCGAGGTGGTGACGTTGCTCTTTATGTGAAGGAGCAACTGGAATGTATAGAGCTGTACCCGTGAGTGGATGAAGAACAAGTTGAAAGCTTATGGGTAAAAATCAAGGGACAAGCCAGCATGGATGATACTGTGGTGGTTGTTTACTACAGACCACACAACCAGGATGAGGAAGTAGATGAGGCCTTCTACAGACAGCTAAAAGTAGCCTTGAAATCACAGGCCCTGGTTCTCATGGGAGACTTCAACTATCCTGATATCAACTGGAAGGACCACACAGCAAGGTGTGCACATCCAGGAGGTTCCTGCAGAACACTGATGATAACTTTTTGACTCAGGTGGTGGAGAAGCCAACAAGAAGAGTGCTACTGGACCTTGTGCTGACAAATAAAGAACTACTGGTTGAGGGTGTGAAGGTAGGGGGCAGCCTTGGCTGCAGCACCCATGAGATGGTGGAGTTCCGGATTCTGCATGGTGGAAGCAGATCAATAAGTAGGACTGCCACATTGGACTTCAGGAGAGCTCACTTCGGCCTCTTCAGGGTCCTACTTGGAAGAATCCCATGGATTAAGGCTCTTGAAGGTAGGGGAGTCCAAGAGAACTGGCTGCTATTTAAGCAACACTTCTTCCATGCTCAGAATTGGTGCATCCCCATGAGTAAGAAATCAAGTAAATGAGGCAGGAGGCCTGCACGAATAACCAAGGAGCTTCTAGTAAAACTCAAAGAAAAGAGAAAGCTCTATGGAATGTGGAAAGAGGGTCAGGCCGCTTGGGAGGCATAAAGGAATGCTGCCAGAGCATGCAGGGAAGCAACTACAAAGGCCAAGGTCCACCTGGAATTAAATCTGGTGAGGGATACCAAGGATAACAAGAAGGGCTTCTTCAAGTACGTCAGCAACAAACAGAAGACCAGGGGAAATGTGGGACCGCTGGTGAATGAAGTGGGTGCCCTGGTGATGGAGGATGGTGACAGAGAAGGCAGAGTTACTGAATGCCTTCTTTGCTTCGGTCTTCACTGCCAAGGCTGGCCCTCAGGCTCCCCAGTCCTTGGAGGTAAGTGAGCAAGCCTGGAGAAAGGATGACCTTTTCTCGGTTGAGGTGGACCAGGTTAAGGATTTTTTTAAGTAAGCTGGCCGCCCAGAAATCTATGGGACCCGATGAAATGCACCTGCAAGTGCTGAGGGAGCTGGCAGACGTCATTGCTGAGCCACTCTTCATCATCTATGAAAGGTGCTGGAGAACAGGAGGATAGCAAATGTCACTCCAGTCTTCAAAAAGGGCAATAAAGAGAATCCAGGAAACTACAGGCCAGTTAGTCTCACCTCCATCCTTGGAAAGGTGATGGAAGAACTCATTCTGGGTGTCCTCTCCAAGCAAAGTGGAGGAAAAGAAGGCGATCGGGAGTACCCAGCATGGATTCACTAAGGGGAAATCATGCCTAACCAATCTGATCGCCTTCTATGATGGCATGACCGGCTGGGTAGATGAGGGGAGAGTGGTGGATGTTGTCTACCTTGAGTTCAGCAAGGCTTTTCACACTGTCTCCTGTTACACCCTCATAGGGAAGCTCAGGAGGTGTGGGTTGGATGAACGGACAGTGAGGTGGATTTGGAACTGGCTGAATGGCAGGGCTCAGAGGGTTCTGATCGGTGGTGCAGAGTCTAGTTGGATGCCTGTAGCTAGTGGGAGTTCCCCAGGTCTCAGTACTCGGCCTGATCTTGTTCAACTTATTCATCAATGACCTGGATGAGGGGGCGGAGTGTACTATCAGCAAGTTCACTGATGACACAAAACTGGGAGGAGTGGCTGATACGCTGGGAGGCTGTGCTGCCATTCAGTGGGACCTGGACAAGCTGGAGAGCTGGGCAGAGAGGAACCTGATGAAGTTCAGCAAGGGCAAGTGTCAAGTGCTGCACCTGGGGAGGTTGAACCCCATGCACCAGTACAGGCTGGGGGCTG